CTCCCCATCCCTGGCCCTGTGAAACAGCAGTGGAGCCCAGCCCCAGTGCACATCCCCAGAGCTGGGCTGGTGCCAGAGGACAGAATTGTGCTGACCAGTTCACTCCTGCATGTCAGGACAGCAGCCACCGTCTTCTCCCCGGTCGTTGCAAAACTCACTAGAGCTGCCTGGAAAAGGAAAAAAAGTATCAAGAAATCATTAAAAATACCTTCAATTAACCCCTCCCAAACCTCACCAAAAAGTATTTGTGAAGTAAATAAAACCAGTGAAATTAAAAGCAGATGAACTGTCACAGCCAAATTTTAAATTGTAAAATTCCCCCCAGCTCAAAACCAAGACAGACCTACTTCTCATAGAGATGAAACAGTTAAGCTGCCACAGGTTTTTGAGCCATGCTGCCCAGAGTTACTGAGACTTTTAGAACCTGGCAGCTGGCCCAGCAGTGTGAAGGACGCCCAGCTGCACTTGGCCCTGTCCTGGTACCTGCTGGAAGTCCCGGAGGTGGCTGAGCAGCCCCTGCTTGTACTGCAGCAGGGAGAAGTGGCTTGGGGACAGCTGCAGGAAGAACTGAGTCCGTGAGGCGCTGGTCACACTGGGCTGAGTGGCCAAGATCCTGGCCTGGAAGTCATCTGCAAACTCCAGCTCCAGGGACTGCAGGGGAGACAAGCACATGTGCTGGGGGAGCTGTCCTGAGACCAACAGCTCCCTCCCCCCAGCAGCAGTCAGAGATTCCCTGAGTCAGGGGACAGAGCAGGAGCAGGGAAGGCTGAGGTTCCACTGGAGTAAAGCTCAGAAGACATTGATCCAGAAGGAAGAATAGACAAAAAGCTTTTCCACCCTTCCCTCAATTTCCAGAGCATGACCCCCCATCTCCAATCACCCCCCAGTTCACCAACAGACTGAGGAGATGTCACCATAACAGGTCTGGACCGGGTAATAAGTGACATATACCCTCAAGACATTCACAGAAGGCTAATTCACTTTATTAAAAACCCATTGCTTTTTATACCCTAATTTGCTACAGGTAGACCTAATCCATCCTTTAATTAAAACACCATCCCCACCGGCTAATTAAGAAGCCATCCTTTGGTAAAGAAACTTATGGGCAATACACCTTATTACAACATCAGGTGCAGATTGTTTAGAACTCTCTCTTTCCAGCTCCCTCATGTTTCCCAGGCTGATTTTGGGAAAACTTATCTAGCTTTCTCTCTCTCTGAGCAGGCTGTCACCAGAGGGAACCAGTTCCAACAGGAGTGCTCACCTGCAGGGGGATGTGCCTCATGTCCTGCTCCGTGTCCAGGGCGCAGACGTGCAGCGAGCGCGCGGCCGTGTCCAGGCACAGCAGCACGGCCTCGCCCACCACGGCGCAGGAGCCCTGCAGGGCCCCCAGCCACGGGGCTGCCACCCTCACCTGCAGAGAGACACAGCCAGCTCAGCAGCACAGGGCCAGCTCGGCAGCACAGGCCAGCTCAGCAGCACAGGGACAGCTCGGCAGCACAGGGACAGCTCGGCACCCATGTGCACACAAAGACAAGTCAAGTCAGTTATTTTTAGCCACGACTCAGAAAAACTACCTGTCAGCCTGAGGGTTATGGATAATCCTGACTGACAGCTGCCAGGCCAGCTCAGTTTGGCTGTCAGGGCGTTCAGCCATGAGATCCCTGGTGTGGAGGCATTGCCTCAGGGAAAGGGAGGGCTCTCTGTGGCACAACCATTGATTTCTCTGCCCACCGCACCACGGGGCTGGAAGTGGATTTGTTCACACCAAATCCAGCATTTTGGCTCCCTACCTGTCTTGTGATTTCTCCATCCTCCACGCTGAAGGTCAGCACGTTCAGGTGGCTCTGGGGAACGATGCCAACCACGTGGATCACTCCAGTGCCACGGGAGTACAGCAGCTCGTACTGAGTGCTCTCACTGCAGGACAGGCAGCAGGCATGAAGCATCACCCTCTCACAGGGCAGTCTGCACAAGCACAAGGCAGGTGCAGCCCCGGGCCAGGGGCTCACACCTCTCCTTAGAGGTGTTCTCACCTTTCTGGCAGGTGTTCCACCCACTTCTGGTGCCCGTTGGACAGGTAGTGCAGAGACAGGGCTGCCTTCTTCAGCACTGCCACGTACTTCACTGCCTCAGGGAGCCCCACCAGGGCAGCGCCCTGGAAACTGAGCACAGGCACCAGCAGTTAGGGAATTCTTTTCCTATTTTACCCTGGGGAAGGGGCTGGAGCACCAGGAGAGGTTGAGGGAGCTGGGAAGGGGCTCAGCCTGGAGAAAAGGAGGCTCAGGGGTCCCCTGTGGCTCTGCACAGCTCCTGACAGGAGGGGACAGCCGGGGGGTCGGGCTGTGCTCCAGGGAACAGGGACAGGAGGAGAGGGAACGGCCTCAGGCTGGGCCAGGGCAGGCTCAGGAGGAATTCCCCCATGGAAAGGGTGCTCAGGCCTTGGCAGGGGCTGCCCAGGGAAGTTTGGAGTCCCCATCCCTGGAGGTCACAGCTTAGACTCCATGGGCTGGGAGGGCTTTTCCAACCTCAGTAATTCTGGGATTCTCTGCAAGGTTCAGGCATTCATACAGAATTCACCCAAAATTTGTTTTGGAAACTTTACATCTGACTAATCCTTCTCTACAATGCAAGCCCAGACCGAGTCCGTGACCCGTTTTTTCCTTCCCAGAGCAGCCCTACAAGGAGAGCAGGGCCTGCAGAGAGGAAATCCCACCTGCCAGTGTCCAGGGAGGTCTCCCAGTTCAAGCCCCCGACGTTGGTGTCCCAGGAGCGCAGGATCCGCCCAGCGCTGGACACGGTGATGGCATCTGGGAACAGGGAGGGGACACACAGCTGGCACCCAGCCCGGGCCAGCACAGGGATGGGCTCTGTGCCCCCAGGCTGGCTCCAGGGCCCTGGCAGCCCCAGCAGTGCCCCAGCTGTGAGACACAGCTACACAGGATGGGCTCTGTGCCCCCAGGCTGGCTCCAGGGCCCTGGCAGCCCCAGCAGTGCCCCTGTGAGACACAGCTACGCCCTGTTCAGAAACTTAGAAAGGTTTATTAAACCTGACCAAAAATACCAGAGAAGACTGAATGGAGAAAAGGTTACAGTGCCAGGAGCAGAGGATTTTCCCCACCAGTGCTCACCCACACAATGGAGGTTTGGCTTTTTAACCCTTTAACCCCTCCCAAAGGTCCGTCCATCCACACCTTCCTCTCTGTCCAGTGGTGGAGATCTCTTCCTGAAATCCTGCCTGCAGGTCAGGTGTTCCATAGTGACAACCACCCCTCCCAAATGTCCCAACCCTGGCTGTCCCTTGACAACAACACGAGGGGTAACACATAACTATAAATCTATGAAACTTTTCTTAAGCTATACACATGACATTTGCCTGTTAATTGCGAGAGTCCATCACGGCACTACCCCTCTGCCACAGCCCTTACCCTGCCCGTGGATCAGCATGGCATCGATGGCTCCCTCCGGGGTGCCCTTGTCCACATGGCGCCACACTGCGAGAGAGAGCAGGGCAGAGGCCGTTTGTCCCGCAAAAGCATTCCTGTGTTACTCCGGCTGTTCAGAAACTTAGAAAGGTTTATTAAACCTGACCAAAAATACCAGAGAAGACTGAATGGAGAAAAGGTTACAGTGCCAGGAGCAGAGGATTTTCCCCACCAGTGCTCACCCACACAATGGAGGTTTGGCTTTTTAACCCTTTAACCACTCCCAAAGGTCTGTCCATCCACACCTTCCTCTCTGTCCAGTGGTGGAGATCTCTTCCTGAAATCCTGCCTGCAGGTCAGGTGTTCCATAGTGACAACCAACCCTCCCAAATGTCCCAGCCCTCCCAAATGTCCCAACCCTCCCAAATGTCCCAACCCTGGCTGTCCCTTGACAACAACACGAGGGGTAACACATAACTATAAATCTATGAAACTTTTCTTAAGCTATACACATGACATTTGCCTGTTAATTGCGAGAGTCCATCACGGCACTATCCCTCTGCCACAGCCCTTACCCTGCCCGTGGATCAGCATGGCATCGATGGCTCCCTCCGGGGTGCCCTTGTCCACATGGCGCCACACTGCGAGAGAGAGCAGGGCAGAGGCCGTTTGTCCCGCAAAAGCATTCCTGTGTTACTCCGGTGGCTGAAGCGGGCTGCCCGCAGAGCCAGCCCTCAGGCAGGGCCCGGAGCCCTCAGGCAGGGCCCGGAGCCCCCCGCCCGCCCGGCCCCGCAGCCACCCGAGCGGCCGCACTCACGGATTTCGCCGCTCCGCGAGTTCAGGGCGGCCACCACGTTCTCCTCCGTAGCCACAACGAGCTTCTTCGAGCCCTGCGAGGCCTCCAGGGAGGCGAACTTGAGCTTGCCCACGTACTGCTGCCTCCTGCGAGAGGGAACGGCCGGAATGGGACCGGGACAGGGCCTGCCCGCGGCAGCGGGGACCCAACCCGGCGCGACCCCGGCGCTCACCAGTCGAACTTGCCCACTTGGTCCTCGTAGACGGCGGCGGCCAGAGGCAGCAGGAGCAGGGCCGGGAGCAGGGCCAGGGCCGGCAGCGGCGCCGCCGCCATGACAGCGGCCCGGCGCCCGGGGGCCTCCTGCGCCGCGGGGCCGCCC